AGTGACAACTTTCCAATACAGAGCATTGGTGTGACCCGAAGTTACAGGTTAATCTAAGCCCCAACTTAATAAAGATCTGTTACCGTAATGCAAGCCTATTTTTTAAACTTTCGTCGTCCGTGGGATTTGAACCCTAGACCTGCTACTTGGAGAGGGTGACGACTTTTAGATATATTATAATATTTATTGTTGTATCTACTTAATAATAAAAGTATTTTATTATGATATTTAAGAGCATTTTTCAATTTAATAACTATACTATTTGATTATTTTAAAAAATGATATCTTCGACAGACCATTCATCACTAGTAGTGATAAATTTTTGTAAGTGAACATTTCTTTCTTTTATTGTTTCTTCTTGATCATTATAAAAAGCTGCAATATTAAAATATTCTTCCATTATTTCTTCTATGAAAAAGAAAAAGAACAGATCAAATGTTACATATTATTTATTAGATTTAAATTGTTAGAACTTGTAAAGTATAATATAACAAACCATCTGCCATATCATATTAATTTCCTCTATTATATCTTCAAATTCTTTGCTATTAATCATTTCTTCTTTAAAAAAAATATCTACATTACTACTAATATCAAAAGTGGCTTGCTTTTTAGAATTGTCTTGAAGTTTTTTAAAAAATGCTTTTTCATTACGAAGTGATCCTAACATTCCCATCATGGCAGGAGATATTTTGTTTATTGACTTCATTTTTATAAGCCCAAACCAGAAAAAAGACATTCAACCTCTGCTGTATAAGGAACAATTGAGAAAATTTTTATAGCAAATTGGCGTAAAAGAGGAGAACTACTAGTGAATTGTGCCCAAAATACTCTAGCATTAATATTAGTATTATTTTTTTTATCAAATAGAGGATTTCTATTTTTATAATTTATAAGTTCTTTATATAAAAGAGTGGCATCTCTTTTATCAAAGCCCCAAACTTTTGCTAGTTCTAAACTAGCTTTAATAATAGAATCACCTATTATTTTTTTTGATATAGCAATTTTTTTATATATTGGAGATAAAAACAATACAACAAAATAAATAGGATCAGAAAATTCACAAGCCCATTTGCCAATAGCTGCCAGTGCATGTTTTTTAAAACCCAAAATAGGAATATTTCTTGTAAGAAAAATATGATAAATACTAATAAACTCTTTAAAAATATCTGATAGTGTTGCATCTCTAGATTCAAGTCGACCAATCGCATCTACCACAGGGGTAAGTATTGTTACAAGAGTATCATTATTTGCAAAATAGTGACGGCTAGTAATAATTTCTTTAATTTCAGTTCTAATAGTAGAATAATCATCGGGTTTGCTAAGTTCAATACAATGCTGAAAACCTTTTTCAAAGTTTGCTACTTCCAAACAAACTTTGGCTAAAGAATACCATCGAGTTTCACAGAGTGTGGCAAGTGAATGATTAATTTTTTGATTGTATTGCCAGTTTATAAGAGTACGAAGCCAAATATGTGATGATGTAAAATAATTGACTAATTTTCGATTATTTTTAATTACAGATAAGATACCTTGAAAGCTAGTAAGATCTTTTACTAACAAATTAAAAGAATGTAGACAATATCGAATAGAAATAATGTTAGGATAATCATTATTAAGATTATCTCTCATCTTTACCAGTTACGCAGGCAATAATAGACGATTTAATAGAAATTACTTTTGAACGAAGAACCTTTTCGAGCTGCTGTTTAAGAAAGACAGCAGTATAACATTTTGCTGACAAATCAACAATATCAAGTACATAGTTTTGATCTTCTTTTAAGGCCATAAAGCTATATATTGAATTACCAGTAATATTTTGCCAACCATCCAATGCAATAGTAATATTAGTTAAAGTTGCCATAACATCTAATTTTTTAGCTAGGTAAGTAGAAAACATTGAATTAAAAATTGATGTACTAAGTGTACTTGCAGAGGGTAAAGTATAATTAGGAGCTAAATCTTTAAGAAAATTAATAAGACAACGAAAGTGAAAGCAAGATTGCCATAAATGATCATGCTAAGTAATTTTTCATCTAATCTAGCTTGTTGATTTTGCGACATTGGTTTAATAACCCAATCTGTTAAACTTTCTTATTGCTTTAATACTACAGGAGACTTATTAGCAGTAGTAGAGCCTTCAATTTGAGCATCATTAGTAATAGTTGTTCTAACTCGCTTATGAAGATTAGAAGTATTATTTGCAAGATATTCACTTTTTTCAGTAGGAGGCCAAAGATTACAAATAAGAACATGGCTATGAAGCTTCTCAGGTCTTCCAGACTGTTCATTATTGCAATACATACACCTGGCTAAATATCGATTACTAGCAATTTTTTCTTCTGAACGCCAAAAGCCAGTTCAACATTGGTCATGAATTTCCATATTTGGAAGAATGAAGCCTTTAGGTGGTTGCATTATTTTTATGATCTGAAGATTTACTTTAATCGTTTTGGATTTAACTCAAGGATTACTCAAGTTATAAACTCAGATAAGCATTCTTTTTATAATAATTTTATTATATAAGATCTATATTGATATCTAATACTAATATTCTTTTTTTGCCTTCTAAATCTTATGCATATAAGGCTTTGATACTGTAATATAATTCTTTTTTATATGTATAATTTAGACGATTTAAACAAGTTTTAGTAAGTTATTTTTATTTTTATTTCAAATATGACTATTGTTAATAATGTATTCTTATTTCATTTTCATTATTGTATGACTTTATATCTTTGTACAAGTTTTCTTCACTGCCACACATATATCCTAATTAAGAATTAATTAATTTTCACCAAGTCTTCCTTCGTTATACTTTTCTCTTCTTCACATGTCACGGTTATTTATTGTTACTAACTAGTCCAAAATTGGTTTAGTCAAGTTTTAGAATATATTTCATCACGAAAATAATTTTATCATAACGAAAGAGGCTTAGAAACAGATATTTTATTAAGTATGCAAATAAAAAAATTATACAGTTGTCTCTTATTAGTATCAACCCTATTTGAAACATTTTTATATTTATATTGGTACGATATTAATGAGCAAACATATTTAAAGTTGATATATAAGGGAGCTTTTATATAATTTTATAGTCAGATTGATATCAACGGGGTTGATATTAATTAGGGATGACTATAATAATAAATATAAGGTAATATTATTTTACTGTACAGCTAGTAAATTTAAAGCATCCGATGTTTATCAAAGAAAATCAAACTTTAGATAATACTAATTGTTTGATAAAATAAAATCTTGCTAAAATTTAAATCAAGAATTTTAATTAATGTGCCTGTGTATAAGATGCTGATACATACTATATTATTCTTGTACATTAAATTGCTGTACATGGTCTCGTGCATATAAAATAAATAATTCTTGATTGTGATTGGTCAACCTTACTTATATAATGGCATGCCATGTTGGCATGCCAAGGACCCCTTTGCCATGAACCCTAGTTACACCTGATCTTGAATTCTGATTTGCTGGCTCCAAACAACCCTAGCGTAACCATGAAAAAATGGTAGCCGGATTTTTTTTGCCGGCCGGCTTACATATAACTTCGGAAAA